GAAGAGAAGTCCTGAGGGCAAATTTGAGGAAAAGTTTGGTAAACCTATTTTTTTTTTTTTTTTTAATGGGATCTCAAAAACTGTTTCCAGGTTAAGCATGGTGTTAGTTGTCCTGCTAAAACCACAGCTAAACTATTACTACTACAGGTACTGCAACATTTCCACTCACAACACAGGAATATAATGTTTGGTACTACCATTGCTACTACTATTACTGCTACTACTACTACCATTGCTACTACTATTACTGCTACTACTACTACCATTGCTACTGCTATTACTGCTACTACTACAACTGCTACTAATACTACCACTACTACTACTACATCTGCTACTACTACTACTGGTACTACCACTACTACAAGTGCTACTACTACTACTACCATTGCTACTACTACAACTGCTACTACTACTACTGCTACTGGTACTACCACTACTACTACAACTACTACTACAACTACTACTACCACTACTACTACTACTACTACTACTACTACTACTACCACTGCTACTACTATCATTGCTACTACTACAACTGCTACTAATACTACCACTACTACTACAACTACTACTACAACTACTACTACCAATACTACTACTACTACTCCTGCTACTACTACTACTACCGCTACTACTACTACTACTACTACTGCTAGTACTACTGCTACTACCGCTATTACTACTACTACTACTACTACTACTACTACTACTATCACTACTACTACTAATACAACTACTACTACTGCTGCTACTACTACTGCTGCTACTACTGCTGCTACTACTACTACTACTACTGCTGTTGCTGCAACTGCTACTACTACTACTACTACTACTACAACTGCCCCTACTACTACAACTACTCAGCCAGCTCTCTCACACAACATGGTAATATCATGTTTGGTACTACCGTTGCAACAATTACTACTACTGCTACTACTACCGCTACTACAACTACTCCTACTACTACTAAGTTAACTTAAGCTTGGCAACTCCAGGCTTGAAATTATCGAAATGATTCTAAATATGCAGGATTTGTGTGTTTTTGATGAGGTAACAAGATTATAACACGGATTAAAGCTCACAAGAGTCCATTCTGCATAATATAGGACCTTTAAAGAGCGGTAGTTAAAGTAGCAGTTACTTTGTATGTAACAGTCCTACGGTCCAAGTTCACGTCGGAGTTTATTGGTGGAGTTAGCCGCCACAAAAGCTCTTAAATACAGCAATGTTCTTTTGCGACAACCTGTGTAATTACCTCAGCTGTCAGCGCACACATCAGCGCACACCGGCCGAACCCTGACTCCAATTAGCCCCGCCCCCTCCCACCCCAGCCCCT